TTTTTTTGGGGGGGGGGGGGCTGAACTACCCCTTTAAACTAATTTGTGCTATGTGAATTCATGATTATCATCTTATGTTTTTTCTCTTTATTAGAATTCATATGCACTTAAAGTCTAAATTAATTATGTAAAATAACTTTAAAAAACATTGTCAATAAGCTGAAAAAATATTACATTTTTGGGTTTCATTCATCTTTAAAATTACCCCTCTGATTTTGTTTATTTTAAATCCTGCTGATATTTATTAAGCCCATATTTTCCACAATTTGAAATATTTTCGTTCACCTAAATACAAAGTTTAGTTATATATATTGTCAATACCATTTTTAAAGAAAAAAATGTTAAATTAAATAAAATATTTTAATGTAATCTGTAAATATCAATAGCACTATAAAATGTTTATAACTATATGAACAAGGTATGAAAGAACATCAAATTGTTTTACATTAAAACAAACTATAGACTTTGTATATAAGCTTTACTTTTTAACCTGTTTCTGTTTTTAAATGTACAGTATGAACAAGTGACTGCACAAATTGCAAAATACAGAGATAAATTTTAACACATATGCATAAATTATTATTATTTTTTCTTTAAAATGTTTTGAACTAAATTCAAATTCATTTGCAGCTTGGAGCCTTTTTAGCATAGCAATTTCCCATCCCATGCTTTTGCAATGTAAGATGTGTTATCAGCTATAGTTCGTAGACTGTGACTCATGTTCCCTTCACAGCTAAAGTGGGTTGAGACAGCACTCAGAGAAAGAATCTGTTCTGACACTAATACAAACACAAGCAAGGAATATTTTAATTCTAATAGGAAAACCTTTGTACATTTCTTCAGTCACTGCCAGTAAAGAGACATTCGAGCCCTTTTGCTTCAAGTAATTGCCTCATCCTTTCTTTAAAACCAGCGAACAGCAGAGCCTAGCAGTCCTATTAGACTGCGGTCTCATTGCTTCATTGAATTAATGTAGGGTCTTTAATGGCAAATTCCTGAAGGGTAACAACGTGTTATGCCGTTGTCATTCAGCGTGACTCATAACAAATGGGATTTTAAAGAAGGCTCCATTTTGTAATGCAAAACAAATGGATTTTAAAAACTTGCATTATGCAGCAGGCCTTGATATTCAGAGGGTGTTAATGAAGCTTTGCTTCATTGGCTCCTTCAGAGTGCCAGCTTCGCACTGAGATAATAACCAAATTCCCCTTCATTGGCTCTGATCCCACACAGCACCCCCTGCAGGGTGTTGGCAATACAAAGTCCGAAGGCTCTTTAATGTCTCCACTGTCAGCGTCGTGACTTGTTTACCTCCACTGTCAGTTCAGGAGGATCCAGAGAGCTGCCAGGACTCTGTCGTGGCCATAATTTCCTGTGTGAAAATGGCAATTACTGACTTTTATCTCTGCTGCAGTAGTATTTCCAGCACTAACAATTACACCGGCCAATTCTTGTAAACAGTCCTTTAAGATTGTGTCAGGACAGCTCCCCCATGTTGAACTTTCAATTACGAAGACTTGTGCATCCTCACAGGCAGAAAATACAGAAGATACTATAATAAGTGAAGTGGTATAAAAAGGGATGAGGAATGAACTTTTGCATGGCAAGTAATTTTACCCCCAAGGCCATCATGTAACAAGACACTTGTATTTTCCTTCACTAGATCAAGGAACCCGTCCTGCCTAACTTTTTACATTTCATAAACACACAATGTAGTTTTTGATCCAACAAGTGATTGAATTGTCTCAAGACAAAATAATCCTGTCGCCTGCATGCTGCAATCTTCAAAAACAACAGTCACATTATCTTGTCAGTTTGCCTTGAGTTTCCTGAATGGGCTTTTTTCCACTTTAGCCAGTGATTTGTATGTTAATGTTTCTCTCATACATACCAATAAGTTTTGAACTTGTACCAAAAAGCAAATAAACTAATTTTAGGATCTCTTTTAGACTGACTCGCTGTATTTTTTTGCCATTGTTCAGAAGAAACTGCGTGGGTGAGGTGTATGTTAACAGAATTACTGAAACCGCAATTGCTCGCTTGACAGCAACTCATCGTTTTTTTGTTTTTAATCTCATAATTACATGTTGAAAGCTGTAATATCATGTATTAAAGGGTACCATTTCAGATCATGCTGTACACAAACCCATCCTTATGTGAATGACTAGCTAATTTAAGTTGTTAATACTTTAAATGAAACAAGAAAATAAGTAGTGGTGTTTTACTCAGCATGTTCAAGTTAACTTTGCAATCTTAACATTATGCGAACTTGTTTTATCGAGTTTTTCAGCCTCGGCAAGAATGCTGTATCCTTGTATGTACGTTCAAAGCGTTCAGGCGAAACTGTGTGCACTTGCAGAATCGTGTCAGGGAACAGGTTCATCTTTTTTTATGAATCTCATAAAAATAACTGCATCTGAAAAGAGCTCACTGTGTCTCTACCTCACACAAACTTGGCATGTCTGAACTTCTTCCCAAGTTGAAGGTAATTGGTTGGATAAAAGCCGTTCAAAAAGGTGACACCATTTGACTGAACTCTTTGAATTTAAATAAAATTAGTTTAAAAAGTACTCATAGCTTGCTTCAGTTTTGTAAGGTATAATTTTTGTTTTTTTTAATTATCTTATAAATTTGAATGCAATACATCTTGGCATACATTTTGTGTCAACTCTCATTAATATTTTAGTTATTCATTTAAAAGACACTTCAAAATCACTTAACAGGTGTAGTTTTATGTTTTGTGTTGATCTGTTTATTAAAACTGTAAATTGTGGTGGGATATATCAATAATTGTTTATCCCCTTTTTAATAACCAATTCATCAATTCTTTCATACACTCTTAAAAATAAAGGTTCTTTATTTGCCTCAATGGTTCTATGAAGAACCTTGAACATCCATGGAACCTTTCAAATGCAGAAAAGGTTCTTTATAGTTGAAAAATATTCTTTAGATATTTTTTAAATGCTCTTCAAAATGATTCTTTTAGGAACTGTTCACAGAAAGGTTCTTTTGGGAACCAAAAATATGGTGTCACTACAAAAACACCCTTTTGGAACCTTTATTTTTAAGAGTGTATCCTTAAGCATAATATATGTAAAATTATTTGGAATAGTCATTGTTTGCAAGTGGAATTAGGTGGAGGGACATTTAGAGGGCAGTCGGTTGGACAATAATCTGTAATGCAACATATCAACAGTATTTTTCGTCCATTTCATTCAAGAGAAAGTCTGTAACTTTTAAATAATATACCTTATATCTGATAAAAGGTTTATTTTGTCAACTTTCAGTTGCGTATTGATGGCTTCAGACCAAATAGACATGGACTAAAAGCCACAAAACTCAAATTCAAACTGTTGAAATGTAAGATGAATGTATAAAGTGCAGTGATTTTACTTGATCACAAAGCCAAGCCTTCAGGGTTGTCATACACTGGCAATCAATCTTGCTCCCCCAGACATACTGTAGAAGCACAGCAGTATTTTTATTGCAGTGCTGTAAATGAATTGATATGAAGGCTCTGAACATGCTTGCAGAAGCCTCTGGTTTGAAACAATCGTCAAACACACTCACACACACAGACCTCTCTGGGGTGGTCTATTGTCTCCAGAGATCATTCTCAGAAGGTGATGGTGGGTCTGAAACACCTTTATGTCTATATTTTTCTCGGTCTTGCCTGGCTCAGACATTAATGTGCTCTTATTACGGCTGTTGTTTCTCAGAGCATTTGCTCTGCCACAGGTGTTCACCAAGGCTCGTCAGCAAACCTCTTATTATAGCGCCAAAGCTGAGAGAGAGGCAAGGGGCTTGAATGTTGAGATACAAAAGAGGAAGGAAATAGATTAGGACATTTACTAGATAGAAACAAGTGGCTCTGAGAGAACTTAACCTGACTTGGCAGAACAAGCGTTCAGACGAAGTATTCAAAAATGCTGGTTAACCAGAAGGATTAATGTAGGTGTTTGGATTGTTGCCATGGGTTTATTAACAGGAATCTGGACTATCTACTCTTTCCCTGTTGGTTGGTAAGAAAGACTTGATGTTTTTACATGGGTTTGCATAAAGGCGAGACATTTTCCTGTTCCCCCTCCTCCATTCCACCAGCCCTCATAACCCTGGTGTGTCTCGCTGATTAGCTGCTTATATAAACATTGCTTTTGCCACCTCACCATCTGTGCTTGAACCCTCCTGGAAGCCTGGTCCTCGTCTCCCAATCTCTTCCTCTGAGGCCCTCTCTGCGCGTGTATACGCTCTGATTGCCTACAGCATGGAGAGTTTATCCATTACAGCTAATCAGCTTAAAGCCATGACCCCATCTTGTTTCTGCTGATTCGTATGGGGCGGAGGATACATTGGTGGTGCTCATCTACAATTGAAAATTGTAATTAACTGAAAACAATTTTAAATAAAATCAACGCTTCTCATGAATATTATTTGCAAAAGTGAATATATTAACTTTCCTTCCGATTCCAGTTGAATTCAAGGCTAAATATTCTCATATTTGCGCGTTTTTCAGTCCCATTGGTTTTAAAAGCCTTGAAATCTCTTGAAGTAGCAATGTCATATATCCTCATCTTCCAGATGAGCATTTCTTCATTTGTTTTTAATCTTTTGATTCACCCGAGATCAAAACATGAGGGGAGACGTCGCCGAGTGAACGCACAAACACAGATGCCGCTGCCTTTGTGACACCAGGTATATTCAGAAGTGTTTGTGATGAAGACTTTGAACTGAGGCCTTCACTCTCACCACTTGTAGGGTTTGAAGTATCAATTATGGAGAACCCATCCTTGCCTGGTTGAGATCTTGTACGGCAGGCCTTTGATCACATGGATGCCCTGT